GACTTGGCTTCACTTGGCGTTTCCAATTGGCGTCAGTTGGCACAGAGCAGAAACGACTGGCGTGCTTTGCTGAACTCGGCCAAAATCGCTTAGGCGGTTACAGCGCCAAAAAAGAAGAAGAATAATATTATAAGCGATCACAGCTAAAAAAGGCTCCAGAAATTAAGGGTGATATCTGCTAAAGGGAAGTTAACTCACAAGCTTATTCCAAACATTGAACATGGTTTAAAATTTCTCATGTGGAGAGAAATTTCGATCTAAAGAACTTTAATTTAGTGTAATGGGTTCATCGAATAATGCCGATTTAGTTAAATAATCCTCCCCGCTAGAAAACCCTATTTCTACAGTAACTTCTCCCAGCAATGGCCTCGTAAAAACTTCTTCTAGCGAATAGCAAAAATAAAGACTCGGATGAGGCCCCTCTTTTTATGACGACTCGGCAAACGTTTAAAGAACTACGATTTGAGTGCATGTACAATGTCCGGACCCTGAATGGGAAAGATGTCTCTGTCCGGCTGGTTGATGCCATCGTAGGGATAAAAGCTGACATCCCCGCCATTAACGGCGTTGGACGGGAGAGGTAAAAAATGTCTGGGGCCTTGCGACGTATACTACAACTGCTATGTAAAGGAGCGCGAATTCTGTGTTGGATTTGTGGTGTTATAGAGACTCCGTCGTCGAGTACTGTCGTTCAGCCCGGTGGACGAGCGTCTCTGCATCAAAGCAAGATTCTCCAAAATCTCGCTGATTTGCGCCCAAGCCCTGGCAAAGAAGGACGAAGCATACAAGGATCTCTTTTATGAGCCCTTGGAAAACACACACGAGCGCTGCCCTTGGTCACGATATAAAAATCATGCTTGGCGATTTTAATGCCATGGTGAGCAAGGACTGAGGAGGACTGAGGACATAGCGCAGCGGATTAAAATTCGGCGGCTCCAGTGGCTAGGTCATGTCCTTCAGATGAACAGAAACGCTCCAGCTTTGAAAGTATTCAATTTGGAACCCGCTAGTGGTAGCTGAGGAAGAGGAATTCTTAATTGGCGTCAGTTGGCACAGAAGAGAAACGACTTGCGTGCTTTTTTTGAACTCGGCCAAAATCGCTTAGGCGGTTACTGAGTGAAATAAAAAGATGAAGAAGAATCTATTTCTACTCGGCTGCCACGACTTCACAGACGAGATCCAGACTTTAATTGCTTCCAGACAAGCCTTAAGCGACATTCATCGAGAGACCATCACAACCTTTACCAACTATCTTCTCCTGAATCTCGTCATCGAAGCTCAACCACCACTTATCCAAGCTCAAACCACCACTCATCTAGGGTTCGAAATTTCAGACTTTGGTATCGATACTGAGTACTCATTCTGGTATCGAGCTCATGGTATCGATACTCTAAAAGTATCAGGGAAAAAGTAT